ACCAGTATTTTCGCCCCTTCCCAAAATTACTTCAACGGAAGGTTTCCAGATGGATATGCGGAGCAAATCCATCTGGCGGAGTCAGGTTAGATCATCGCTGCACCGCCCCCAAAAGCAGTGTCAGCATTAAAATTACTCCGTTCGTCCTCCATCCTGCTCTGTTCCCTCCCGCTATCTTCTCCATGAGCAACACTTGGCTCGACCAATGGGATGAGGGGATTCTGGATCATTACATGTATGTTGTCAGCTTTGAGTCACATCGCAGGACAGGGCCCGGGAACACGTTTACCGCAAGTTTTGTATCTAACGTACCCTTGTTCTTCATCTTCCAATAGCTTTTTATGGAGTATTTATTTTACTCTCACAGTAATACGGGATAAAGTGCGTTCCTTTTCCACTAAATATGGGACAGGTACTTCTATTTCTAAATACGGAACGATTCTGTTTTTCAAGGGACGGTTGGCAACCCTAGCTGTATTCCACCTCAAAATGCAGGAAACTGTTTCAGAGTCTGTATATCAAAATTTTCTGAGGGAGGATACCCCTGGACCGCCATACGCCGCGCTACGCCTCTGCTTTGTGTTCACAATTAAAAATGTAGTTCAACATGTAATCCATGTTAATACTACATTGGTTTTAACCAGCATAAAATAGCCTCCAAAGAAACACCATGTGGTTCTGCTGGCCTAAAGGCCTAAATATGCAGCACCTGCTAAAGCATCAATAGTACGGTTACCCATTTGTCATTAATACAAATGCATACGATATGATAAAGTATTTAGGCCATAATTTTATTATTTTTTTTAATTAGGAGAATAAAGTTATTAAAAAATATATTAAATTCATAATCATGAGAGTAAAGATGTAAACCTATGAGGAAAAAAAGCTTTTTTACCTGCAGCTGAATAAAGCATTTTAACTCAGCGGCAGGAAAACACTTTTTATGACCTTTAAAACCAGAAACTTGTAGTAATACCTGATGTTTTTACTCATAGATATTATTTCTTGTTTCTCACCTTCTGGGGGACGTCTTTGATCATTTCATACATGTTTTCCACCATTGCTCTGGAGTATGTTCCAACAAAGATCGGAGGGAGATAAAGAACCTGCCAGAAACAAAATAATGTTAATTGCAAAACGAGGGGAGTGGCGGCCTAGTAGTTAGGG